TTATTGCATTCCTATAACATCACTTTCCATTTCTTAATATATATAGTTGCAGACTTGTAAAGATTTTGAATTCAAACTTTGAAGAATCTGTAACTAAGGGGGATTCAGACTGTGGAGAAAGAAATGGAAAACAAGCCAGTGTAATTAACTTTTGAATTTTTTGTTTATTTAAAGCATTGGTTTTTCTTTAATTTTCTAGACTGATGTTTGTGGTTATGATCCAGATTGTTGGTTGTTTTAATTTGTCCACAGGATTGCAAAACATGGATTGGAGTTCTGTTAGGTGTTATGGTTTCCATAGGGTTTGATTGCTGTATTTGTAGGTTATTCATTGGCCTTGAAACACCTAACAAAATGTTCATCGAACAAGCAAAAAGCAATTGGGAAGGCACTGTCACCAAGAGAAATTAAGAATGATTCTGGTATGTTCCCTGAGTCTGAAGCATTTATGCATGGGTTTTCTGATTTTTTAATCTTTTGTTAATTAGTACAATGAGCATAGTCTTATGGTAAAACTAATTAAGATTCTTCCTTAAAAGTTTTTGGACCATAAGAGATTTGCTCTTGGAGGTACTCAATTTCAGTCAGTAGGTAGGACGATAGTCTCTTATACCTTGAGTAGGCAAATCACTCCTAAATTCACAATTGTTTCAAAGAATGGCAATAGATACAAAGTTGCTTATCGACTTCCAATTTGTAGGTCTGTTTCTGGAGAGTTGTCGTTGACTAAGCTTTGCCCCAGACTCTAAGGACATCTCAATCCATAGTGACTCTTAACTCCTTTAAGGTATGTCTTGACTAGAATTATGATTGAGCTTGAAATTCATTTAAAATAGATATGCTTTGTGATATTTAATTCATTTATTTCTCATTTCCATTATTAAGGATACTTTGTGATGCTCTTGTAATTGGCATCAAAGTTCTCATCTTTTAACAAATGAACAACAGGGATTTCAAGATGAAAACAGTAAGAGTCAACCATGAGAACCAGTAGCTAACCATGGAGATCAATGGTGTGGTATTGTAGACCCAGTGGCGGCGAACGTGATTTGCTCAATATGTTTTGTGTCTTGAAATGGTGATGAAGAGATTTGAACCCACTTTCCAACATAGGTTGCACTTCTCCTGACAATTCATCCAACACCAGCTGTGCAAAAAAAAAACAAAATCAGTTTACACTTGTAGTTTCATTTATGCCAGCAACCCGATGATGATATGGCAAGTCTCCCAAGTGAAGAAATATCATCAAGATCAATCAATGCGAGTGGAAGATGCATAAGTCTTTGTGGTGAGCAAGTGCCATATTCTGTCAAATTTGTTGCTAGCTAACAGACATGAAATGTGGAAGGCCAAGTTAAACTTGCTAATG